AACGCTTATTTGAAACACACTTAATAAGGGAAGGTGGTTTAAATAATCGAAAGTTCAGACAATGACCGAATATATGTATGTATAGCCCTATATACTTTATATAGCTGGAAACGGTAACTTTACGCTAATAATTTCAATAATATTTAATACCTCAAATAATAACTCATCTGACGTGAGGTTTGAATCTACGGCAATTAAGACTCCTCCCAGTCTTAGGTCGGGTACTTACTTGGAAAAACTTCGGAGTGTAGAATATCCGTCTTTAAAGAGGTTTTTGTAAACACGATAGTTGGATTGCTACGCCAGCCTGTTGCACGTTTCCGACTCTATAAAGTGTATACATTCTTGATCATGATCAATAGCCGAGTAGAAAGCCACGTCCATCTGTAAGTCCGTTTAGTGAAAATATATATATTTTTACAATTTTATCGAAGCCTTTATAGGTACGTATTTCTTTTTCTAACACTCATAAAGGAATTCTTTAATCTCTTGGTCACCAAACTAAAAAAAAGGAGTGAAGAAAAATCTGTTAGGCCAATCAACGAGGTAGAACCGTCCTTTTTTTTGCCTGGGTAACCTCGTCGGATGTGGACGTTGTTTTTAATAAGCTTTCCCCTTTCCAACACAACAAGAATAAATATTAAATGTGCCAGAGTTATACAAAGGAAATGTAAAGTTCGTTGGTTATTAGTCCGAACTGCCCCACAAGGTCGAATGTTTTTAGGCCACATACCTTGTCTGTCACACTTTTCCGTGTGCTAAATGGACAGTGGAAACGATCCCCTTTTGTCAAGGTAGTCCTTTTATAGTTGTGTCACTACTTCTTGACCTAGTTCGCTGTTGCTTCAGTACCTCCTTGATTTGGTTTCAACCAACACATGTTATATAAGGTTTTTTGGGAACCATTTTGTATTACTTGCAATTTGATAAAACATAATATCCCGAATAAATTTAACTTAAAAAGTATTAATATATACAAGAAAGTTAATTTGTTGCTTAGAAATATAAATTGTTATCTATTAATTAGGATAGATTGAAAATTTATTACATGTAAATAAAATATTTTCTTTGTGAATATTAAAAAAAAAATGTTTTATTTTTTATAGGCGCCTCCTTGAAAAAAGGTTTTGTGGTGAACAGCATAACTCAATACTGAATCATCAGAAAAAACAAAAAAAAAATAGTTTATTAGTTGAGATGTTTTTAAAGGTAACTAAGTTGCATTTTTATACCCTTGCAGAGGGTATTATAATTTTGGTCAAAAGTGTGCAACGCAGTGAAGGAGACATCTCCGACCCTATAAAGTATATATATTCTTGATGAGGATCACCTCCAGAGTTGATATAGCCATGTCCGTCTGTCCGGCTGTCCGTCTGTCTGTTTCTACGCAAACTAGTCTCTCAGTTTTAAAGCTATCGAATTGAAACTTTGCACACACCCTTCTTTCCTTTGCACGCAGTATATAAGTTAACACGGTCACCCGGCAACAGAGAAGTTGCCAAACTGATCACGCGTAGCCGGCATGAGAATAATGCAAAGCCAGCGACACCTGCGCATATTGCACAACGACGGTAGCAGAAGCCCAAGCTTCGGTCAGCGCTATCAGCGGGCAATGCACTGCGACGCAACCGACGGCTACCCAACACCACACACGGGGCGCCGGGTCAGCACTTTCAGGGCATAGGGCTAGCTTTCATTATAAGAATTTATGTACTTAGTAGTTAGTTGAATTTTGGAAATAAATCGTGACGGTCATCGCCTCCCGAAACCTAAGTCTTCTCATTCGCGCAGTACCGCGCGTCTTAAGTAAAAACCCGAATAAGGAAATAATTAATTTATATGTCGGAACGACTATATCCTATAGCTGCCATATAACTGATTGATCGGAAATGCCATAACTTTGGTGTTTGTAAAGTTAGGAAGTTGGAATTTTCTATGGGTTTTATATTTGACCAATCAATCTGACCTACCAAATTTCATAAGGATCGGCCGACTATATCTTATAGCTGTTATATAACTGATTGATCGGAAGTGCCATAACTTTGGTGTTTGTTAAGTTAGGAAGTTGGGATTTTCTATGGGTTTTATTTTTGGCCAATCAATCCGACCTACCAAACTTCATAAGGATCGGCCGACTATATCCTATAGCTGCCATAGAACTGAACTATTGGAAATGCCATAACTTTGGTGTTTTTAAAGTTAGGAAGTTGGGATTTTTTATGAGTATTAAGAATGCATCATATGAATATTTTTGGAGAATATAATTTACAGAGTATTCTGCAAGGGTATATCAACTTCGGCTCCGCCCGAAGTTAGCTTTCCTTTCTTGTTTTTTTTTAACTTTGAATTTTTGGTAACACTTTAAAGTAAAAAACGTGATTTTAGCCCAAATGGTACTTCAGTACCTGCGTATTTAGGTACAGAAATTGTGTGCAAAATTTCAAAACGATTCGTCCAGTAGGTTTTGCAGTTTCGGGTTCACCGACGTTGAAATGGCAACTTTTCAGGAGAGCGTTTTAAAGTTTTGGACACCCAAAAATCGAATACAAAAAGAGCTTACTTACCTACGTTCAACTGCCCATAACTTCAGAAGTTTTACTTGGATCAATATAAAATTTTAACGCAATATTCTTCAAGTGTTGTGCATTCAAAAAAAAATTTTTTAAAAAAAGACAACAAACTTTTAATACCATACCCCAGGCGGTGTGGAATATATAATATAACATAATATCGTTTAGGTAAATTAATCTTGATATTTTATTTAGCGATAGAATCCAAAGTTTCAAGGATATCTTAGCTATATCTATATTTTGAATAACAAGAAAAGAATCAAAATTTGACAAGCCCAAGTTTATATACCCTTGCAGTTGTTACAAATCTACCACATATCGATTTCTATGCATAAATTACCAATAACAATGAAGCTATGTCGATTTTGCGCTGCATTTTGACATCTTTTCTATGGCAGCTTATGATATTGTTGTCCGATTTTAATTTATTTAAAACCGTAATTCCATAATATTTAAATTTTACAAAGCCCCAAAGAACAAAATAAAAATTAAAAACAACAAAGTTATATTTTTTTCAATTTTTTTCCGATTTTTTCTATGGGATCTGTATGATATAGTCCCCCAATCTGGCTCGTTCTTACTTATATACTACATGCAATAGAAAAACAACTTTTGGAAAAGTTTCAAGCAGATGGCTTTAAAACTGAGGGACTAGTTTGCGAAGAAACGGACGGATAGACGGACAGACGGACATGGCTAGAACAGACTCTCCTGGTGATGCTGATCAAGAATATATATACTTTATTGGGTCGAAAATGACTCCTTCACTGCATTGCAAACTTTTGACTGAAATTATAATACCCTCTGCAAGGGTAAAAAACTGTCAGGTCGAGATTAGTTAGTAGTATTAGGTGATTTTAATATTCCTAGTGCGACATGGTCCCAAGACGAATACTCTAATATTTTACTTCCTTTAGGGCAGCATGACATTATTGACGGCTTGCTTGACATTGCGCTATCCCAAGTAAACCATGTTAAAAACTCATTAGGACGTTTACTAGACTAGTGTTTTGTTTCAAATCCAGAAGGCGTTTGTCTATTAAGAACATTCCCTCTTACACAGCCGGATGATCCTTTCAACCAACTCTAGAGCTGACTGTAGATGCGAGAACACAGCTGAATTAAAAATCCTAAAAGTCTGTTAAACGAATTCGCTGCTATCGTAAGGCAAACTTTCAACGTTTAAATACTTTTATATCCGGCCATGACTGGTCCGAACTCTATTATTGCACTAACATGGCTGAGGCCGTTAATATATTTTATAATGCATTTAACTCCTTCTTCTATCTGTGTGTTCCGTTATACTATCCTTATTTAATAAGGAGTTGTCACACCTAAAAATTATTATGTCCAGACTTTTCAATAAATATGTGCGAATTACAATCTGCCGTCTCTCGATACTCGCTCGGTGTTATAAAAACTGTCTGACTCGTTGTAGGGTCCAGTTTTCACAAGATCCAAAACAGTTTTATAACTTGTTAACACTAAGCGTAAATCAGCCTGTTACCTAGCATCGCTATCATTTGAAAATTGTACGGCAAATACTGATCAGTCAATTGCCGATCTATTTGCCCAGTTCTACCAGACAACATATTCCGTTTCATCGCGTCCAAATTCGTCTTATTCATATGCCTTATCCAAGTCAAACTTAATTTTTCTCCGAGGTTAGCAAAAGCTCCCTTATCTTGGATTTCCATAAAGTTAAACCAGTATATTCACCGGGTCCTGACGGAATTCCAGGCTGCGTGCTTAAATACTGTGCTGAAAATCTGTGTAAACCTCTGCACAAATTGTATACCTTATCTTTGGAAACTTCTCACTTCCCCCGTATTTGGAAGGAGTCATTCGTTATTCCCCTTCATAAAAAAAGGAAATAAATCAAATACAAGCAATTACAGAGGTATATCCAAATTATTCAACATCCCAAAGCTTTTCAAAAACGTTATTACACCCCACTTGCAACATCTTTGTAGATCAATTATATAAATATATATAAAACGAATCTCTATGACTGCAAACCTTGAAAAGTAACTTTCAGAAAGATGTAGTAGTACTTGTAGTAGTAGGTTGTTTATTGTTTTTTGTTTTGTTTTTCTTTGTTGCTTATTTATAGCTGGCTGTACATATTTAAATTTACATCAAAACAAATAAACAAACAAAAATTGGTTACAACGACAATGGCTTTTATGCCGTCAGTCGGTTAATTTAGTTAAGTTAGATTCATAAATTGTTCTAAAATAATTTTTTTTCTGTAATAACTGGCTTTTGTAATGAAGAATGCCAGATTCTCCCAGTTTTCCCCATTTAGAAGACTGTGGAGATCCGATTCGCCAAGGGTGGCTTTCGTAATTATTTTCGGTAGTCTACTATTTGGCATATGCATAACCTTATCGATGTAATTAATGTGCTGCTGAAGTGTGTAGGAGAATATACTAGGCAGTCCTGTTTCAATAAAAATTGCATAGTCGGGAGTATTTTGTGGCAGTCGAAATATCTTTTTTACAAAAAAAGTTAGTACTCGTTCCGCATCTTTATATCTTTGATTTTCCCACACATCTGCCGAGTAGCACATAATTGTTTTCACTGTCGCCTGGAAAAGGCACTCATTTTAACGTTTTTTCTGCCTAAAAAGTTTTTCCATGTGGCGTTCATAGCTATTTTTGCATCTTTGAGCTTATCTTTTATGTGGGTATAAAAACTCATATTTGTGGTAAGCGTTACACCGAGATATTTGAACGATTTTAAACGTTCCAGCTGGATTCCGTTCAGTTGCCATTTTTCGTTCCTAGCGTGACGGCCACCTGTACCCTTAACTACCATAATCTTTGATTTGCTTGTATTTATGGTGAGGTTCCATACTTACAGTACTCGGATATGCTAACAATCATGTCCCTTAACGTTTCAGGGCTGTCAGCCAGTAGGCACATGTCATCGGCATACATAAGGGTCTGAACATGGGTTCCATTCACGGTCACTCCACCTAGTTAAAAATCAACAACGTCGTCCACGAAGAGAGAGAAGAGGAGAGGGCTGAGAATTGAGCCTTGTTTAACTCCACTGTTGGTATCGAACTATTTCGAAAGCTCTGATCCGTCCCATACACTTGCTTTGTTATCCTCATAGATACTGGACAGTGCTAGTAAGGCTTTTGTTGAGAGTCCGAGTTGGCTAAGTTTATACATTAAGCTATTTTGGTTCACTGTTTCAAAGGCGGCTTTAAAATCTACAAAGAAAATGTACAGCTTCTTTTTTTGTTGCAGAAAGGTTTAGGCGATTGATGTCAGCACGAAAACACTGCCAACTGTAGAGAAACCCTTTCGAAAGCCTGTCTGAAATTCACTAAGAATGTTTTCTCGGTTTACCCATGTCGTCATACGTTTTAACAGTGCTCCTGCAAAAATCTTAGCGACTGTGTTTTGAGCAGATATGCCTCGGTAGTTGCTGGGATCGGTCTCCACACCTTTTTTAAAAATTGGGCTGAACAGACTTTTTTTGAAGCAATCTGGGAAAATTCCATGGCTTTAAAATTCATTGTAGGCATCGGTATGTCGCTGTATAAAACAAAGCGGCGCGTTTTTGAAAAATTCTGCAGTTATTCTGTCTTCACCAGGAGCTTTTTTTATTTTTAGTGTTAGGACAGCGCTTTCTATTTCTGCAAGGCTGAAAGGGGAGTCCATATGATCTGAGGACAGCAGAGGCTTAGCATAGCTGATTTCTGTTTCATTTTGAATTTGGGAGAGTAGGCTACTAAAATAGTTTGCCAAATCTCTTGAACTTACTTTTATTGGTTTTTTCTGTTTGTTCCCGTTTAATTTATTAACGATTTCCCAGAACTGTTTGCTGTCGCGAACTTCTTGTAGTTGGCGTTCCATATTTATCCAGAACTGTTTTTCTTTCTCTCTGCATAGACGTTTGTAATTTGTTATTGCCGTTTTGTAGATGTGGCCCATTATTTCGCCTTAGCTGTTTAAGGCAATCTAAAAAGTGTTTCCTGGCCCTTTCGCATTGTACGTCGAACCACAGTTGCTTTCTGCTAAAGTTTAGTGACTGCTGCATGGGTTTGGAGGCATCTACGATTAAGTTGAGCAGTTTGGCTAGCAGTGTAGACCCACTCAGATGTTCTATTTGTTGGACTCCTGATATTAATGCATCTGTGTAACTTAGGCGGTGGTTGTCCTTCCACTTTAACCTTCGCTTGAGTTTTGGCTGGGAACTATCGACTTGTTCATGTAGAATGACTTTTAAAAGGACTTCGATGATCAGAAAGGGGTTGAGCACCTACCTCCAAATCTTTCACCACATCGTGCCACTTTCCTTGTATGAGACAGTAGGCAACAGTCGATCATGCTGCGCCCCTTATAAAGGTATATTGTCCTTCTTGGTCACCGATTGTCCTGCCGTTCATTACCGTCAGTGCTAGTAATTCGCACATCTCAACAATTTTTGCGCCTTTGTTTTCTGAGATTTCGTCCTTAGATTTACGAATCGTGCTACTGGTCCTGAGGTCTATATTTGTGGGTTCTGTTGTGGCTTGTGCTTTTCCGATGCGAGCATTTATATCCCCAATAATCATTAGGTTATTGCAACCTGCTGTTAGTCCGAAATCGTACACCTTTTCAAAATCTGCTTGCCAGTTATTGCAGTTAATGTATACTTTCGTGTTTATTTCGATGACTTCTGCGTTTTCCTTGCTCGTAAAGGTAATGTGTCCTTCGTTCACCAGCTGCTTTCGGATTCCGTAAACACTTCCTCCGCTGGCCCGTCCACGGGCTGCTACTCTCACTGCTGGTATCCAATGCAGCAAATGATCAGGAAAGTAATTTGCAAAACTCGTTTCGACGTTGGTCAGAAAAGTTTCAAATAGTAGAAAAATGTCGAATCGTGTAACAAAATTAAAGAATTGTTTAAATAATGTCTTAGTTGCTAAGCCAGATATATTGTACGATACAATTTTAACATTAAGGGACGGTACTACATTAGGGACATTTAGTTTTTTGAATTTAGTTTGCTCAATATAACTTCGTAGTCTAGGGCTATTTTAAATGAGATACCATATATGTTCTCCAGGACATTTTGTGCTAACTCTACTCCACAAATGAGCTTGCCGTCTTTATTCCAGTAGAACCATTTTCCTTCAATAATGCGATCGTTTCTAACAGTGACCTTAAAGTTTTTGTGGCTTTCCAGAATGTCCCGGAGGAGGCCTAGCATCACGCGTTTTTTAAGTCTCCTTTCGATGTTCAGATCCTGTTCGATTGAGACTCGCGTTCCTTTCAGGTTTTTGGTGTGCTTAAGGATGGTCTGTACTGCGCTTACTGTGTTTAGTTCAACCAGAACAACCATTTTTCCGTCGGCGTCGTGTAACTTCTTTACCGAGTCTATCTCCATACGGTCCTTTATCAACAATTCCCTCTTTATTAGGTCACATACAATTAAATGGATTTTTTTCGGATTTTAGACCTCGGATGATTATGTTTTTTCGTTTATTTGCGTCATCTAGTTTTATAAGTCTTGCTTGTTTGTTGAAGGTCCCGGCCTGACCGGTACCCTGAGGCTTAGTAGGGGTGCTGTCGAGTCCTAACATTTTTATTTAGTTTTGTGCAGAGATTTAACAGTATGCCTAAAACGATTCTTTTATATTTTTTCTAAACTTTTCTAAACGCCACCTATTGGCTGAAGCTGGGACCGTATATTAGACTAAGCTATTATTCCGGTGGGCGTTCGATAAGCAAGAGCTTTGGATCCGCTTCTTGTACTGAAACTTGACATTATGTGATCTACATAAGTAAATTTTTAGTTTGCTGAGTGGTAGGACTCAAAAAGGCCTCTTGAAATGCTTGGTCTCAAACCTAATCTAAGTTACTTCAGGCGGCATACCATTTTTTAACGATGTACTCAGATGTGCAACATAACTAAATTTTTCAAAGTTCAGACTCTCAATCTTATCTAAATGGTTTTCAAGTTTTCGATTTAAGTAGTGCTAAATGCTAAGGAATGATATTTTTTCCGTCTACTCTCAGTACATATACATTTTGTTTGTCATTTATAACAGAACTACCCAGAAATTGAATTAGATGCCAAGATAATGCGCCATTGCAAAATTCAACAGAACCTAATTTTTCTTTTAGTAGCTCTATGTAGGAGGGAAGCACTTCTTTGTACTGTGTCTGTTATGTTGTTGTTGCCGATGTAGCTTGTTGTTGTATTTTCGTCTAAGCCTATCCTAGGTTATTATTGTACAACTATTTTAAGGGCCTCTTTGCTGAGAGATTAGATTTTCGCATGTCTGTAATTGGATATCCTTATATTGCGGTCTCTGAGGTAATAAAAGCTTAGCGAATTACAATCTGCCGTCTCTCGATACTCGCTCGGTGTTATAAAAACTGTCTGACTCGTTGTAGGGTCCAGTTTTCACAAGATCCAAAACAGTTTTATAACTTGTTAACACTAAGCGTAAATCAGCCTGTTACCTAGCATCGCTATCATTTGAAAATTGTACGGCAAATACTGATCAGTCAATTGCCGATCTATTTGCCCAGTTCTACCAGACAACATATTCCGTTTCATGGCGTCCAAATTCGTCTTATTCATATGCCTTATCCAAGTCAAACTTAATTTTTTCTCCGAGGTTAGCAAAAGCTCCCTTATCTTGGATTTCCATAAAGTTAAACCAGTATATTCACCGGGTCCTGACGGAATTCCAGGCTGCGTGCTTAAATACTGTGCTGAAAATCTGTGTAAACCTCTGCACAAATTGTATACCTTATCTTTGGAAACTTCTCACTTCCCCCGTATTTGGAAGGAGTCATTCGTTATTCCCCTTCATAAAAAAAGGAAATAAATCAAATACAAGCAATTACAGAGGTATATCCAAATTATTCAACATCCCAAAGCTTTTCAAAAACGTTATTACACCCCACTTGCAACATATTTGTAGATCAATTATATAAATATATATAAAACGAATCTCTATGACTGCAAACCTTGAAAAGTAACTTTCAGAAAGATGTAGTAGTACTTGTAGTAGTAGGTTGTTTATTGTTTTTTGTTTTGTTTTTTTTGTTGCTTATTGCTATAGCTGGCTGTACATATTTAAATTTACATCAAAACAAATAAACAAACAAAAATTGGTTACAACGACAATGGCTTTTATGCCGTCAGTCGGTTAATTTAGTTAAGTTAGATTCATAAATTGTTCTAAAATAATTTTTTTTCTGTAATAACTGGCTTTTGTAATGAAGAATGCCAGATTCTCCCAGTTTTCCCCATTTAGAAGACTGTGGAGATCCGATTCGCCAAGGGTGGCTTTCGTAAAACATGTTAAACGAATCTCTCTCAGAATATTAATCAATTATTTTCGGTAGTCTACTATTTGGCATCGATGTAATTAATGTGCTGCTGAAGTGTGTAGGAGAATATACTAGGCAGTCCTGTTTCAATAAAAATTGCATAGTCGGGAGTATTTTGTGGCAGTCGAAATATCTTTTTACAAAAAAATTAGTACTCGTTCCGCATCTTTATATCTTTGATTTTCCCACACATCTGCCGAGTAGCACATAATTGTTTTCACTGTCGCCTGGAAAAGGCACTCATTTTAACGTTTTTTCTGCCTAAAAAGTTTTTCCATGTGGCGTTCATAGCTATTTTTGCATCTTTGAGCTTATCTTTTATGTGGGTATAAAAACTCATATTTGTGGTAAGCGTTACACCGAGATATTTGAACGATTTTACTTGTTCCAGCTGGATTCCGTTCAGTTGCCATTTTTCGTTCCTAGCGTGACGGCCACCTGTACCCTTAACTACCATAATCTTTGATTTGCTTGTATTTATGGTGAGGTTCCATACTTACAGTACTCGGATATGCTAACAATCATGTCCCTTAACGTTTCAGGGCTGTCAGCCAGTAGGCACATGTCATCGGCATACATAAGGGTCTGAACATGGGTTCCATTCACGGTCACTCCACCTAGTTAAAAATCAACAACGTCGTCCACGAAGAGAGATAAGAGGAGAGGGCTGAGAATTGAGCCTTGTTTAACTCCACTGTTGGTATCGAACTATTTCGAAAGCTCTGATCCGTCCCATACACTTGCTTTGTTATCCTCATAGATACTGGACAGTGCTAGTAAGGCTTTTGTTGAGAGTCCGAGTTGGCTAAGTTTATACATTAAGCTATTTTGGTTCACTGTTTCAAAGGCGGCTTTAAAATCTACAAAGAAAATGTACAGCTTCTTTTTTTGTTGCAGAAAGGTTTAGGCGATTGATGTCAGCACGAAAACACTGCCAACTGTAGAGAAACCCTTTCGAAAGCCTGTCTGAAATTCACTAAGAATGTTTTCTCGGTTTACCCATGTCGTCATACGTTTTAACAGTGCTCCTGCAAAAATCTTAGCGACTGTGTTTTGAGCAGATATGCCTCGGTAGTTGCTGGGATCGGTCTCCACACCTTTTTTAAAAATTGGGCTGAACAGACTTTTTTTGAAGCAATCTGGGAAAATTCCATGGCTTTAAAATTCATTGTAGGCATCGGTATGTCGCTGTATAAAACAAAGCGGCGCGTTTTTGAAAAATTCTGCAGTTATTCTGTCTTCACCAGGAGCTTTTTTTTATTTTTAGTGTTAGGACAGCGCTTTCTATTTCTGCAAGGCTGAAAGGGGAGTCCATATGATCTGAGGACAGCAGAGGCTTAGCATAGCTGATTTCTGTTTCATTTTGAATTTGGGAGAGTAGGCTACTAAAATAGTTTGCCAAATCTCTTGAACTTACTTTTATGGGTTTTTTCTGTTTGTTCCCGTTTAATTTATTAACGATTTCCCAGAACTGTTTGCTGTCGCGAACTTCTTGTAGTTGGCGTTCCATATTTATCCAAAACTGTTTTTTTTTCTCTCTGCATAGACGTTTGTAATTTGTTATTGCCGTTTTGTAGATGTGGCCCATTATTTCCCCTTAGCTGTTTAAGGCAATCTAAAAAGTGTTTCCTGGCCCTTTCGCATTGTACGTCGAACCACAGTTGCTTTCTGCTAAAGTTTAGTGACTGCTGCATGGGTTTGGAGGCATCTACGATTAAGTTGAGCAGTTTGGCTAGCAGTGTAGACCCACTCAGATTTTCTATTTGTTGGACTCCTGATATTAATGCATCTGTGTAACTTAGGCGGTGGTTGTCCTTCCACTTTAACCGTCGCTTGAGTTTTGGCTGGGAACTATCGACTTGTTCATGTAGAATGACTTTTAAAAGGTCTTCGATGATCAGAAAGGGGTTGAGCACCTACCTCCAAATCTTTCACCACATCGTGCCACTTTCCTTGTATGAGACAGTAGGCAACAGTCGATCATGCTGCGCCCCTTATAAAGGTATATTGTCCTTCTTGGTCACCGATTGTCCTGCCGTTCATTACCGTCAGTGCTAGTAATTCGCACATCTCAACAATTTTGCGCCTTTGTTTTCTGAGATTTCGTCCTTAGATTTACGAATCGTGCTACTGGTCCTGAGGTCTATATTTGTGGGTTCTGTTGTGGCTTGTGCTTTTCCGATGCGAGCATTTATATCCCCAATAATCATTAGGTTATTGCAACCTGCTGTTAGTCCGAAATCGTACACCTTTTCAAAATCTGCTTGCCAGTTATTGCAGTTAATGTATACTGGGAGTATATGTAGTTTTTCGTCTTTCGTGTTTATTTCGATGACTTCTGCGTTTTCCTTGCTCGTAAAGGTAATGTGTCCTTCGTTCACCAGCTGCTTTCGGATTCCGTAAACACTTCCTCCGCTGGCCCGTCCACGGGCTGCTACTCTCACTGCTGGTATCCAATGCAGCAAATGATCAGGAAAGTAATTTGCAAAACTCGTTTCGACGTTGGTCAGAAAAGTTTCAAATAGTAGAAAAATGTCGAATCGTGTAACAAAATTAAAGAATTGTTTAAATAATGTCTTAGTTGCTAAGCCAGATATATTGTACGATACAATTTTAACATTAAGGGACGGTACTACATTAGGGACATTTAGTTTTTTGAATTTAGTTTGCTCAATATAACTTCGTAGTCTAGGGCTATTTTAAATGAGATACCATATATGTTCTCCAGGACATTTTGTGCTAACTCTACTCCACAAATGAGCTTGCCGTCTTTATTCCAGTAGAACCATTTTCCTTCAATAATGCGATCGTTTCTAACAGTGACCTTAAAGTTTTTGTGGCTTTCCAGAATGTCCCGGAGGAGGCCTAGCATCACGCGTTTTTTAAGTCTCCTTTCGATGTTCAGATCCTGTTCGATTGAGACTCGCGTTCCTTTCAGGTTTTTGGTGTGCTTAAGGATGGTCTGTACTGCGCTTACTGTGTTTAGTTCAACCAGAACAACCATTTTTCCGTCGGCGTCGTGTAGCTTCTTTACCGAGTCTATCTCCATACGGTCCTTTATCAACAATTCCCTCTTTATTAGGTCAGATACAATTAAATGGATTTTTTCGGATTTTAGACCTCGGATGATTATGTTTTTTCGTTTATTTGCGTCTTCTAGTTTTATAAGTCTTGCTTGTTTGTTGAAGGTCCCGGCCTGACCGGTACCCTGAGGCTTAGTAGGGGTGCTGTCGAGTCCTAACATTTTTATTTAGTTTTGTGCAGAGATTTAACAGTATGCCTAAAACGATTCTTTTATATTTTTTCTAAACTTTTCTAAACGCCACCTATTGGCTGAAGCTGGGACCGTATATTAGACTAAGCTATTATTCCGGTGGGCGTTCGATAAGCAAGAGCTTTGGATCCGCTTCTTGTACTGAAACTTGACATTATGTGATCTACTTAAGTAAATTTTTAGTTTGCTGAGTGGTAGGACTCAAAAAGGCCTCTTGAAATGCTTGGTCTCAAACCTAATCTAAGTTACTTCAGGCGGCATACCATTTTTTAACGATGTACTCAGATGTGCAACATAACTAAATTTTTCAAAGTTCAGACTCACAATCTTATCTAAATGGTTTTCAAGTTTTCGATTTAAGTAGTGCTAAATGCTAAGGAATGATATTTTTTCCGTCTACTCTCAGTACATATACATTTTGTTTGTCATTTATAACAGAACTACCCAGAAATTGAATTAGATGCCAAGATAATGCGCCATTGCAAAATTCAACAGAACCTAATTTTTCTTTTAGTAGCTCTATGTAGGAGGGAAGCACTTCTTTGTACTGTGTCTGTTATGTTGTTGTTGCCGATGTAGCTTGTTGTTGTATTTTCGTCTAAGCCTATCCTAGGTTATTATTGTACAACTATTTTAAGGGCCTCTTTGCTGAGAGATTAGATTTTCGCATGTCTGAAATTGGATATCCTTATATTGCGGTCTCTGAGGTTATAAAAGCTTAGCGGCCAGTAACGCGAGTACCTCAGCGACGAGTCCAGCCACAGCTCATCTTTCCATCTCTGAGCTCATGAAAGCTTAGCGGTCTTTTGGGCTCTGGACAAGTAAAACTACTAGATAATAAAGCTCGCCGAAAACTTCTTCTGAAGGCCTCTATTCTAAACACGCGACTTTTGTTCTTCTCGTTAGTTTATCTAATGCTCTTGTCATTAACACGCTGATTACGACCAGGAAAGGCCCTGATACTATCGCCTTTATTCTTCCGTTAAGGATTTCTTTCAATATCTTGGTTTCTGTTTCTATGATGTGCTCTTCCTTATATACCGAATGAGGTGAGAGCGACTTACTTCGGCTGTTATCATCTTACTTGTCAGCATGGCACATCTCAATGAACTGATTTCAACCTCAATACATTAACGGATCAGGGGCCGTCAAAATGGGTTCTGTGTTCACGTCGTTGAACGCACCTATTGTGTCGTGAAGTATTCTTGGCATCCCTTAAAGTATGTATCTCTGTGATGTATATCTCTAGGGATTCTTTAACTGTCATTGTCGCTGATATACTAAAAGCGATACTAGCGGTCCAGATGGCTCAGCGACAATGATAGTTATCTTTATCTTCTTGTACGGTTTTGAAGGTTATTAGTTCTTTAATTGTACATTATTTGTTGTAATTACATATTCTATCTAGTTCGCATAGATTATTGTTCCTTGTTTCCAACATGCTACATGTTTATGCGTTTGTGAAAACGTTGCTTACATTCTTGTCGAGGACATTTTTAAGGGATTGTTCCTTAATATTCCTGTTGCTTACTTCCGACTGGACAATCCTACCGAATTTGTCTCAATTAGTTTTTCGTGGTTTCCATTTCGGTGGTAAAATGCTAAAGATAATATTTGTATGGTTTTAAAAATAATTTTGTTTCTATGGTTTCAGGGGATATATACAGAAATCAGTATAGCGAAATAATCAATTTTAACGTACTTTTAACTTTCAACATTAATATTAATTAAGAAAATTCAATGAGTGTTATCTGGTATATTACATAAAATACTCTTTACTAAGTTAATTTATGTCCCTTTTTTACTTGATATTTGTTAGATATGGTGTTTGTCCTAGCCTAGATAAACAAGGAAAAATCTAAAATTTGCAGCTGAGGTACACACCAGTTATTAAACTGTAATAGTTACATTTCAAAAAATAATTAATGGATATATTATTTATCTGACAAATGGGTTGGTTGTGGTTCAATCAACATAAGATGTTGATATATTTAACCAATGATTAGGTTCTGTAAACGTATAAGATAAGTCCATAAAACTAAAAAGTTTACTGTTTGCATGAAAAATTAACATATGCTAAAATTATGCATTTTAGTACACATTAAAATTTCTACATATACATTACTTTTGTATTTTTTTTCAGTAAATTGCTATTAAAGGACACACACGCTTGCTTTTATCCGTATTACTCTGCGACCAATATTGATCGTCTTGTGAGCTCAGGATATAATCCCAGTCCGCAAAAGGAAGAGTTATCGCAGAGGAAAGTATATAGTCTTACTGCATCTATTATACCAGCCACCTAATATTATTATTCGACTGTTACATAGAGTGAATAATGCAAATTTAGCTTAAAACAACAACTAATACAGACAAAAATTGGTCGTTCTATTACAAGACAAAAGAATTTCGATGAAATTGTTTTAGATTTGGGTCAATATTTTGGACAAAATACCCTCTAATAGAGTATTTAGAGGGTATTTTGGTATTTTTTTCTCAGGTTCTGTTGAACCGTTTGACTTTAAAAGTATTTCTCTATTAACCACTGTTTGCGCACTTAGCGCGTTTACTTTTCTCTAGTTTTCTAGTATTTTACTCTATGGTTGCCAACTCGGGTGGATGGTGCGGAACTAAACTTGGCCTATTTTGGTTCGGTACCCAAAAATCCCTTCCGTTCGCTTTCCAACTATTAAATAATAATTCTTCATTTCATTTCTCTTACAAACTAAGGATTATATTAATATTAAACTTAAATATTTTTTGCTTATATCTATTGTGGTGGACCAGCCGTCAGTCAGGATCGTCACACAATCTACAATTTTTCGGTTGGGTAATTGTTGCGAAGCTTATTATGATTAATACTGTTTCTGTAATTTTATTGTTATCATTGTTATTTTATTTTTTAGAGTTTTCGGATCTCAACCACGTTTTGAGATTTGAGTTCTTCGAAGATTTCTTTTTCGTCAATCCCCCCTTTGGAATAGCGTACTCTTTTAGAGGTGTTAAAATTTTTGTGGTCCTCGGCGCGGACTGGAAAGTCGCGAAATGCTTGCACTCTAAGCATGGGTTCCCGATCAACTTATTTGTTACAAGCAAAATGGACAGGAATTGGGGATACGTATTAAAATCTTTAATGCCAGTTCTACTAATTATAATGTATTTTGGTTCATTTGTTTTCATGTGAATCCTTGTCAAGGGTCGGTCGAGTGGTCGAGACATCACTTATTCTTGTGTTTGTTGTTTTTTTTAATGGGTACGAAGTAGTCGCGAAGAAGTCGCGAATTGGAACGTAGGTTAGCCGCACGTCTTTACTCTTTGTATGATTGCCCGTGACCGAAGGATAACGCAAGAAATGATTGGGATTACACTGGTAGTCTTATTGCTTCTCTTTCTGCTTCTCCTTAACGCGTCACTCCTTGCAGGCTGCTGCTGAGTCGATTCTGGCTTGCTTCCCACAGGACGGCCCCACCGAGACTCTGGATGTTATACGAACTTCCCTACCGGGGGCGGTAAGCTGTATCGCCGGCATGTGTTCAAGGTCCGTATTTCCCGTTTCAACTGAATGCCATTGACCCCACCGGCATTCTCGTCTCCTCCGCAATTGCCAGGCCGCTCTCCTGCATCAGGATTCGTGTGGAGTTTAAGACTCCTCACATAGTATACCCCTGCAGAGAGTATTATAATATTTGCGACCATATAAAGCGTATGGTGAATTTGTTTGTAAAGTGAAAATTCTTTTTTTATTCTCCTGATACAATTTCATTCCCCTTTAAAGGTATCACCTCCCAAAAAAAAAAAATATGACAAGTTTCTTCAAATCCCCGAAACAGGCCAAATAGTCCCTTTCCGGTATAGCCATGAGCGCCCTCGTCGATTCCGCTTTTATATCTTCAATTGGGAATAGCCAGAAGTCACACGGAGCCAAATCAGGAGAATACGGTGGTTGCGGAACGATATGCGTCTAATTCTTGGCGATTTGGTCACGAAGAACCAGTGCAAAAATTTAGCGTTTTCGGTACCAAACGAGATTTGACTTTTCATAGGCCCAAATGGTCTTTCAAAATGGTTTTCACAGATCCTTTTGATATTCCGATCATATCAGTTAGGTCTCTAACAGTCAACCGATTTTTGAGCACTATTCCTTCACTTCATTGACGTGTTGGTCATCTGTTGACGTCGATGGTCGTCCGGAGCGCTCCAAGTCAGGCGACTAGTATCATATAGCTCCCATTGGAACAATCGGAAAAAAAAATTCAAAAAAATTATAACTTTGTTGTTATACCCTTGCAGAGGGTATTATAATTTTGGTCAAAAGTGTGCAACGCAGTGAAGGAGACATCTTTGACCCTATAAAGTATATACATTCTTGATCAGGATCACCTCCTGAGTTGAGCCATGTCCGTCTGTCCGTCCGTCTACGCAAACCAGTCTCTCAGTTTTAAAGCTATCGAATTGAAACTTTGCACACACCCTTCTTTCCTTTGCACACAGTATATAAGTCGGAACGGCCGGGATCAGCCGACTATATTCTATAGCTGCCATATAACTGATTGATCGGAAATGCCATAACGTTGGTGTTGGTTAAGTTAGGAAGTTGGGATTTTCTATGGGTTTTATTTTTGGCCAATCAATCCGACCTACCAAATTTCATATGGATCGGCCGACTATATCCTATAGCTGCCATATAACTGAACGATTGGAAATGCCATAACTTTGGTGTTTTTAAAGTTAGGAAGTTGGGATTTTTTATGAGTATTAAGAATGCATCATATGAATAATTTTTGGAGAATATAATTTACAGAGTATTCTGCAAGGGTATATCAACTTCGGCTCCGCCCGAAGCTAGCTTTCCTTTCTTGTTTTTAATGATTTTCTTTTTATTTGAAAAAAGTTGTATAATTTCACAGTTCTTGTTTTTAATTTTTTTTTTTTTGTTCTTTGTGATTTGCTATTACTTAAATATTATGGAATTATGGTTTTAATTAAAATAAAATCGGACAACAATATCATATAGCTGCCATAGAAACGATGGGAAAATGTAGCCAAAATCGACATAGCTTAAATGTTTTTAGCAATATAGGCAGATTTGTAAGAACTGCAAGAGTATATATACTTCGGCATGCCGAAGTTTGCTTACTTTCTTGTTTAATTTCATTAACACTTTTCTATTCACAACTCCGTTTTTTTGTTTGATGAAATTGTCTTTATTATTCTGAGTTTCGGAACCCAATAACCTAGAGTGTCTGTATATTAAGAGCCTATCTTGCGATACTTATATTAAAATCTTTCTTATTGCACGCCAGTGCTAAGGAATAACAGTCATTGACATCTTTAATTTTATACCTTGTACGTACAAATTAACTTTCTCACTTGTGAGTTAGTTAAAAATATTTATTTTTATTTTTATTATCACTTATTCACTATTACAATTTTTCAATAGGTCGAACTTATTTAATTCACTGCTCTTTTACTTTCACTTGATTTTTCTTTGGTGCTCGGTTCGGATCTCAAAAACGGACTGACTGCCTCGAGTTCAATGATTAATAACAAAAACTCGACTTAATAGATTTATCTCTAGAATTGATAAAGAGAATGACTCAAAAGAGTCGGAAAATAGGGTGATGCAATTTGACAATTAAATTTAAAATCTAAATTCGGACGGAAAGTGGTGTTTAAATTCGCGGACTTTAGGGATCTCTTTGGAAATCTTTTGTTTGCGTTAGCGGACTCAGGGCTCGCTTTGGGGCTCCGATGTTTACAATATCGGCTTGGATGTTTACAGCATCCGTTTGATGCGGACTGCGTGAAATTGATCTGGGTGGGAATAATTTGGAGGCGTAGTTGACAGAAATAGCTGACCACGGATTTATCTCGGGTATTGTCAGAGTTAATTGGAAATTGGCTCTCAGCTCAAATTTGTTTATAAATTGGGTAAGAGACCCTAAATAATGTATCATATAACTTACACTCCAAACCAGTTGTATGGCAACTCTACCTCTGATGTTTAAAAATTAGTAATCGGGATTAATATTTCCTTTGATTTGGAATAATATGGGTGATAGATTCTTCTTTTTTGACTTTTACAGTGAACGGTTAGTTCGTATTTTGTTAGTTAGTTTTTTGCGCTGGAATTTTTATTTTTTTATGTATTAATCCGTATGGTGCCTTTTTCAAAATTGGTTTAAAATCAGTCTCATATAACTACTTTAATATTCCGTTCACATCCCGAGTGAAATCGATCTATTTTTTGCCAAATTTATTCAAATCCGTTTTGTCCGCTGTGGTTTCACAATAATAATATAATATACCTACCCCGCCACAAGGGACTATGGAGTCCGGACTACCGGCGCAAGTTGGCTGTGCAGAAATAATGTCTGCTCCACCAAAATCCCTAAGGAAACGAATATTTGTTTCTCGGCTTTCCCTAATCAAACATCTTCTAATGTATTGTCAGTATATACAAGACCAAACTTAAGCCGATAACAATAGTGTAAAGGTGGGCATTTCATCTTTCAAGATCACTGTCCCTTCCAGTTAGCTCTCTCTTCCAAAAACTAATTTCTAACCTCCTTCTTTCCTATCAGAATGCAAAAGGATTGCGTAGCAAGCTGACTATATAGCCTGGTTAAAACCAGAAATCCCAAGCTCCAAAGTTTTTCTAAATAATTACACAATATATAAGCATGACCGTCCCTCTAGACGGAAAGATGGAGTCGATTCTTACGTCAAAGGAGTTTTTTTTGAGAAATTCAATGCTATTAAAATTAATTGTGTAAATTTATCGTTTCCTGGTAACTCTATATAATAATATGGCCGATGACCATAATGCTTTTTACTCTTCAATAAATGGATTCCTTAATACCTGTGCTTCGAGGTAATATCCGTCAATCTCCAATAAATTACCTTGGTTTAGCCGTTCACTGTAAAAGCCTTATGTGCATTTTAACCGAAAGTTCTACTTTTTTGGATCTTCTACGTGATAAGCCTGTTTATTCGTCAGGGCCCGATGGTATACCTGGGTGTGTGCTTAGGCCCTGTGGTTAGGTTCAATAACATTGTAACGATCCTGTTTTAGAAGACGGAATAGCTAGACGTGAAATTTGTATTTAGTTCGGCCCCTCTTCTAATCGACTTACCACCCAGTCCCCAATAATAAGCAAGATCGCTACGGCTAGATGCTTCGGGATGGCCGTTCGTTGCTGCTTCGTGATGCGCAGCTCGGCGATGTGGTACCCTGATCGGTACGGAATGTTCTATTCGTTAGGTAGGAACAATTTCTGCTTGGTTTAGTGTCCTCGTTTGTACGATCTGCCGGGCATTTATGAAAC